TATATATTTATTTATTTATTTATTTATATGTATATATATATATATATTGTTTCGGTCAACATGTTGCTAACATCTCCAACCTATACGCCCACGCACAGGCGGGTGTGGATGTGATCGTTGTGGATGAGAGCGAGTTTATGCACGTGCTGGGGCATAAAAGCTCCATGATGCTGACCCTGGACGAGATCTTACACCACAGGTAATCGTGCGAGTACTCTCTTTTTCGCTACTATCCTGAGCGTCTTTGAGTGCATTTGAATCGACAGAACACTACCGGTGCACGTCCAGAGTTGCACACAACCACTGCTATAGTGAAAATGCGAGCGTGCCTCTATCGGGGCTGTGTATCATATCGAACTTGCCACATGTGAAAAACTGCACGTTTTAACTGGGGATATGATGAACTTTATATTGCTGGCCAAGAGTACCAAACCCTGTACCACACGGCACTGTGCGTAGCTTTTCTCGACTCTTAGTGCTGTACTCGGGTATATGAGTGCCTTCGTGCCTGTTTGCTGTGCGATGTGTAGGTGGCGATAAAAACCATAGCAACCACCTCAGCCTTGTACAAGCTCGTTTCGAGTTTCGTACCACTCACGAAGACGCACGTGGGGTGTGTTCGGCATTGCGCCGATCCAGGCACAACATACATATGCTAGCGTTGCGATTCACCGGGTAGTTCTAGTGAAGCGAGGGCTGTCCATTGGTCATAGTTCGTTTGTATGTCCACAGGCGACGTCATCAATAACCCCCATGTTATTTGGACGTGTACGTATTCTTGTCCGTCCCGCGTTCAACATCTCTCGTAGTGTGTGGCTCAGACAACTGTACACAACGCGTGCTGAACTTCCGGATGTGTTTTTAGTCAATCCCATAAGCGCGTGCTGCCCCCAGCACTTCACTGTTGGCTCGATTTCCCTCTACCTACATATACGTTGTATGTTCGTACGAACAGGCAGTGGTTTGAAGCCTGTACCCCAAGAATGTCTTTGTGCATAACCAGACCGTCAAGACCCGTTCTTATTACCTACATAAACGTACTCCATTGCAACACAGTCGAGCCATAGCACGGGCTGCCCCTAGGCCGTTTGTGGTGTGTGATTTCCCCTTTGGCGTGTCGCAATTCTCGGCTGACAAAGTACTGGAAAGTGCTGTGCGTTTGGTTAAGGATGGGCGAGTACAGGTATGCATGCACGCATATGTAAGCACGAGGTGTTTGTATTAGTTGATGCTATCAGTTGAAAACAAGGGTTTTCTCGGTTGGTATATAGCTGGAAAGTGCTGTGCGTTTGGTTGAGGACGGGCGAGTACAGGTGTGCATGCACGCATATGCAAGCACGGGGTGTTTGTATCGGTTGATGCTATCAGTTTAAAACAGGGTTTTTCTCGGTTAGTATATAGCTTGAAAATCGTGCGTTCGTGCGATTGATTAAGGACGGTCGAGCGTATGCATAGACAAGCATGCGAGATGAATAGTGTCCTCCTTTTACTTCGATATACAAGCTTTTCTTACTGTGAAAAGTGCTGTGTCTTTTCTTAGACTTGGGCGGATGTATATCTATGCCAGACTGAGTGGTTGAAGTTGTATTGTTATAGCAGTTCAATACAGAATTGTCTTAATGTACCGGACGTATAGGGGGATTCGTTCATAGAAGAATGCTTCGAATTTTCCGTACACCTCATGCTAGAACACCATGGGTGGATGTGGACGCGAAGCTTCTGATACACCATATATAGTCCTACATGAGCAACATACTTATATAGCGCGGCGCTGTGCTTGTTGAAGTGGTGATCAAGATTCTAGTTGGTTCCGAGAGCATACAATACACACACATTTGGATAAGCCGTAGAAGGCACAAATACAACATACTGCCGCGCTATGTCTATATCTATATCTATATATATATATATATAAATATATATATATATGTATA